TGCTGCATAGAGCGTGTGGGTGACTTGGTCCCTAAGCTAACGGCAGGAAAAACAATTGTGAGCGTGTGGGGCCGTTTCTAATAACAACAACCTTCAAGCTTACGAAGTTGCTGGGCGCGGTGTAGAAGCTTAAATTTGAACTGTGATGGATGCATTTAGCGGTAGCTCGGAGCTTTAGTTGTGATTCGATCACCACAATTCTTCTTACGGTCGATAGTGTTTTTTGATAAGAAAGCCGTATAGTTTAAATTGGCTTACATGACTGTCAGGAGTGAATGACAAGTGCCGCATAAGCGACAGCGCTCATGCTGAAACGTTCTCTGGGCGGTGACTCTGTGGTGCACGGTGGAGTGGAGGGATTCTAGTAAAGCCCTGGTAGTCCCAAGATGTTTCACAATACACCGCCGAAACAGTGGAATGCAGGCAGGGATGGTATCAGGAACCTTCTGCAAAAGATATGTTCGTTGGGATGTTATGAAAGTTGCCCACGAGATGGCGCGTAGCGTTTTAAGTGTCTTTTTCAGATTAAAGATGGACAGCATCCCATCATTCGTAGTAAGCAACAAACTATTTGCAGACAGAATAAGTAAGCACTCAATCCATTTACCTTACGCCAAGCGCTAACAGGCTGCCAAATGGCAATAGAGAGCTGCGACCTGCAACAATTAACGGCCAGGCCAATAAACTGCCGAACCAACACATGCACTGGCAGCGAGCCAACTGGGCAGTGCATACGTTACATGTAAGCATACTGATAGTACAGAACTGAACTATAGAAAATTATACGAATTAAGGAACAATCACCTTCTTTAACCAAATTTTAGCTTTGGAAATTTCACTCGTCGACATCTGGTAGCCTCATACAGTGCCAGGCATGTATAGGATTCTACTAGCAAACCCGGCAGTCAAGATTCTTTCTAACAGACAGTCAACAAATCCAAGTTTCAACAAGGGCCTTCCTCTTGAGGGCTCAAAAAGCGTTATCCGACACTTACTCTTCGGCATGCTCAGCAGAAGGGACATTTCATTGGTCCTTTCAATAAAGCCATAAAAATGGCTAGGTCACCGCTGAAACAGAAAAAGTTTTTGCAATCGCGCTCCGTAAGACCATGTCCTCAGAAATGGTCTAAAATCTTGGCCCTGTGCCTGACTGACCCTTGTGACCTGTGACTCGCGAGAGGTTGTCGGGCGACAGTGATGGCTTTTCCCTACCAGTGCATGCTATACAGGCCCGACTATCCCACGAGGCCTAGGTCGAGCCAGTTTAGATTTGTGCCGCAATTCTGGGCATTTCCTCCTATACGATACCTTTACGTTAAGGAGTGATGCTTCGCCCCCTTCTTTTACACTCTTGACCTTTGACCTTGAGCCCCAGCTTCGACATCCAACTCGTGTTTGACGATCCGCCCAAACGACCGGCCCGGAATCGTGACCGTACGTCGAGCGGGAGTTAAGATTTGCTGTGCCGGCAACTGTTGAACGGACGACCGGCGACGACGGCGACCCGAGCGGACGCGCGCACAGATCAGCGATTCTACAAGCTGCAATCTGAACTATGGTCAGATGAGCTAAAAAACACATTTGTTTTTAAACAAATTAAATAAAAACTGGTTTTTATTTTTTTAAACATATAACAATAAACCCAATTTTGTTTTGTTTTTATTTACTACTGATGATATGTAGCTTCAGGGGCAGATTTTAATTTCGGCTGGTTGTCTATGTTATGCGCTCTTAATGTCGGTAACAATTCGTCTCACTTAGTGGTATTATCAGAATTCCGCGGAACTGCAGATTATATGTGTGTGCGTGGCGTGTGTGGCACGGTCGCGCGTTGTGTGCTTGTGTGTTTGTGTGTGTGGTGTGTGTGTGTGTGTGGTGTGTGTGTGTGTGTGTGTGTGCTGTGGTCTGTGTGTGTTGGTGCTCGGCGTGTGCGTGTGCTGTGGCGTGTGCGCGTGGCGTGTGCGTGTCGTGTGACGTGTGGAGTGCGTGTGTTGTGCGTCGTGACGGTGGCGTGCGTGTGCGTGTGCGTGTGCGTGTGGCGTAGTGCGTGGTGCTGGTGCGTGTAACGTGTGCGATGCGCGTTGCCGCGCCGCGCAAGGCGCGTGTGTGTGTGTGTTTGCGCGTTTCGTCGTGAATGCTGTCTACACTACACACCCCTTCTCCATGTTATCATGATTTCATGCAAGCTGCTCCCAGTTCGTGATATTCCTCTGATCAGCGGTGTTCCACTCTTATAAAGACAATAATATCAGCTCTGAAAATGTGTAGGG